TGTGTTTCAGAATAACCTGGGTGCTTGCTTCTATCATAATGTTCCACCCTATCTTCAGGGTGTTTTATTTAGTAGCTGGCTTTAGGTTCCTGGGAGCTACCTCCAGACACATGTCCTGGGTGACTGTTACTCTGAGACTCCTTGCACTGAGGGAGGTTTCATAGGGTAGAGAAGCGTTTCTGGGTACATTTGTGTCCGCTGATCTTGCGTGCCTGGTAGGTGACAGGCCTGGCCGGGATGTAAAGGTAAAAAAGGCTTTATTCCTACCGCTCATGGAATGTCATGTTCTAGCAAGGGATCATGAAGATTAGTGTTTGTATTACACTTCACAAAATGCTTCTCTGTGCATTTTCTCAATAGATGTTATTCTTTGGCAAATAAGGAAATGAAACGTTTAAGTAGCCCCTCGTCGAGATGAGGTGATGATTTGAATCCACATCTTTGGACTCCAAATCCTGGGCGCTTTCCATTTTCCTGAGTCCCTTCTCCAGTCGAGGGGCAGCTTTCTGTTCAGGCACAGCCTCTAGTAAATGCGGGTCCCTGGGAGTGCTGTGCTTAAATGCTCAGCTGCTAACCAGTCAGTGGTTGGAACCCACCTTCGCCCCTGTGCGAGGAAGATAAGGCTGTCTGCTTCTGTAAAGATGTACAGCCTGAGAAACCAAGGGGCAGTTCCCCGGTGGAGAGTCACCAGGAGTCAGAATCGACTCTAGTGGGTGGGATTTCTGGTTTTTAATAAATGTCAATAAAGATCGGTGAACAGTGTGCAGCCTTGAATAACAAGGAAAGAATCCAAACCTCCTTTTATTTTACTGTCAAAAGATAAAATTTTCCTTTATTGGGGTAGTGCTTTTCTGAATAAAATCATTTAAGAAAAGATTTTCCCTGAGTTGCTATTAAGGTTGCTTAACTTTCCATTGTAGAATTTTTCTTTTAGAAAGCTGCTCAGATTATCATGAAATGTACATCTTGTTCAGCTAAATAAAATATTCTGTGTGTGTGTGTTTTTCTCTTTGGTTATTACTATGTGCTGCTCACCTTGGGATTAGATACATTAAAAAGTGGTATTGTGTAGCCAGAATCTGTTGGGGAAATAGGGGGTATTTTTTTTCCCCTCAAAAGAAAAGAAGAGAATTTGTGACTTCTTAGCTTCCAAGAAAATCAATATAATTATTTCGTACTTTATTTTCTGATCTAGACAACGAAAGCACAAGGAGCAAATAGCTCTGATCAAAGCGAAATCTGCAAACTGCAGAACATCATCCAGGTAAGGCGGAGCGTCGGGAGCTGGCAGTTGGACTTTTGATGTATAATTGGCAACTGGACAGCCACAAGCTGCTTCTTAAAAACACAAGCCTGTGTTAGCAGAGGTGCAGTGATAAAGGTAATCATAGCGATTCAGTCACTCAGGTCTTTTTCTCTGTTTAGCATTTTCTTTGTTCTTACGGCAAGTCAGGTTTACAAAAACAACCTCTTTCCAACATTGTTTGGTTTTGAGCATTTG